TTTTTAAATTTGTATTCAATTTTTTTTTAAATTTTATGTTTCAAAATTAAAAGGAAACAATACTATATTGAAGATACAAAAAATGATTAATTAAAGACATCAATGCTACGATTTATAACATCTATTGAAAAACAACAACAATATTAAGTAAAATTATATGTTGTAGATTATGATGATTTTAAAAAGACGGGCACACATATTTTCTTACAAAATTGACGCCTTTAAGTTTTCAATATCATTTAAATTTGTATCTTTTTCTTTGAACCTCCATACCCTTCTCTTATCTTTTGTCAAACACAATTTCCTCAGCTATCGGCTAGTGGCATATTGTTGTGTCCCAGGTATATATTTCTGGGCATTGTAGATTATTTTCTTCGGTTGTCTCTGTAGAGTCTTAGGTTTTGTAAATAATGAATCCAACGACTTTTACTTGTGTTTATTATTAAAATGCTATTTCCTTAACGATACTTCTTGTTTATTTAACGTTCTTCCTAAGACTAATTACAAATACTTTTTCTACGTATAAAATTAACTAAGCAGCGAGTTCAAGGCACGGTTTTTATACGAAGCTTCAGGTCATCTTTTTTGTGCAATCAAATACCAATTCTGCGTCTGGGTTCCAATGTTAAGACACAAACATTGACAAGCATCTTGGTGATTGGACACAACAATATGTAAATGTGTATCACAACAGAGACGTGTATCACATAAAGACGAGGATCAAACTGGGATTCTGCTGTTCAGTATAGTTGAACTCGGTTGAATCTTTTATCGTATTACTTAATGTAAAATCAAACTAATAAACTGAAACTCATTTAAACTAGTGTTTCTCAAACTATGGAACGCGTAAACTTATTAATCGGTTCCTAAATGACAGCTGTCGCATGGCGAAAGCGAGGAACTGGTGAAATAGTTTTAGCTTTTGGACTCTGTACAACTACATACAAATATGACGTGTCGAGAAGAAAAAATATTGAGAAACGAGAAAATATTTATTAAGTTTCGATGTTATTGTTTAATTCAAAATAGTTCATAATCTTCTAGGCAAGCAATACTAAAAATAATTTCCCTGATACGTACTATTGTATTATATTATATTATATAAGTCTCTTATTACAGATCTCAACAAAAGAAGTCAATGAAATTGAAACAATATAAACAAATTTAACCTAAGAAATAATGATTACACAAATAGTCAACTTACAAACAAATTGAAATCACTTTTTTTTAATACAGTGGAACCTCGCTTAGCGAGTTTAATTCGTTCCAAAATTTCAGGATTTTTACTCGTATAGTGAAACACGTTTTCTGATATAAACTAATGTAAATTACGATAATGCGTTTCATTCCGGAAAAAAAAAGTATAACTTCGTCTCGATTTTTAACGATTTTGCTTTTCATATGGTTATATATGGTGTTATTAAATTTTGCACACAAAAAAATCAAATAACATGTCTGAACACAAGTTTGTAAATATATGTTGATGACTACTAACACTAGGAACTGTTTTCTCATTCACACACGGTGAAGTGAGTTAATATTTGTTTATATTACTTATATCAATCCGGGGTCTTGGTACTTTATACTTTTAATATTTGTTTATATAAAAAAGTGTACATGGTTTGTTTATATAACATAAATATATTTGCAAAGTATAGTCCGCTATAAACAAAGATGACAAAGAAAAATAGAAGTCGGTTAATATATTCAAAAATACACATAATATGTATACATGTTTTAAAAATGATGTATCAGGCGCACAATCCGGGACTTCTCTTCTCATCACTCGTTATGCGAATCGTCGCTCGTTAAGCGAGTAATTTTCGTACAATTAATTTTGCTCGTTAAGCGAAATGCTTGTTATGTGAGGTTCCAGTCTATGAGTCTTAAGTTGATTGTGTCTTTTTTCTCTTTAATCTAACTAGTGCTTATTCAGAGTTATTACTTTTGACACTGGTCGCTCAACAATGACACTTCTTCCTAAATCAGGATTATTTTCACTAAAAAATAAAATGTTTCAATGTCATTAAAGTTAACTTTTTTTTTAATTTTGTTTTAATTGCTAAATGGTTCTCCAAATCTACAACCGTTAATATAGTGCAAAAGCTCTAAAAATAAGATCAGAATTATTTATTTAAAAGAAATGACTAATATTGAAGACATTAATGAAGAGAGTTTGGAAATATGGAATCCAATAACAAATTTAACATTTAATTATTTCAATAAGAAATATATTTACAAAATAGAAACTTCATGAGGATTTTCATAGTGATAAAGCTGAAAATACTAAAGTATTGTCAAAATCAACATAGATAATGAGATGTATGTATATGTTTAGTTACGTATTTCCTTATCAATACTTACTGTTTTTAAGTTTTTAACTAATTGGTGATAATCGCAATCAAATTTGTTTAATATAAAATATTGTAATAGTATGAATTAATTATTGCTATATGAAAAAGTGCCTGAAAGTTAACCAGTTAACATTCTAAGAAGGAAGAAAACCGGTTTTTTGAAGAAATTTATAAAATTTTAAAACCGGACATTTTCATCTAAAAAACCGGTTTTTAGCCAAGACCTAAAATATAAAAATAAATTAATTATTTGATTAATAAAACATTTTGACACAAAATTGCATACAAGGAGACAGCAAAAGAAGATAAATTAGTGACCGTATGTGTATGAGAAACAAGTGTATACTGCTGCTCACAACCAATAAAATGACACAAAATACCAATACTCAATTACTCTTCGCCAAAAGCGTCCATTAGGAAGAAATTTTGCAGCAACTTAAAAAAAACGTCGGGTACTAGTAATGAATGCGACTGCATATTTTCTATCTAAAACAAGGACCTATATGAGCAATAGATAGATAGGAATAGAAATTCCTTCCTTTTTAAAATCAAATTTTCTGAGAAAAAATAAGAAATAAAATTATATTTTATAGTCGTGACTCTGTTATTCGTTTATCTGTAGGGTTTTCTATGGAGTAAATTTTATTTTATTAGAGCTTTATCTAATATTATAGAAGTTTTTAATTTTGTGAGATTTTATTTTGTTGTTATTTTAAATTCCGTCTTACTTTGTAATTATAGAGTATTGACACCAGTGACGGATTGCCCATTAAGGCACTGATTCTCAACCAGTGCGTCGCAATCCACAAGGGGACCGTCTTGACTTTGTGGGGGATTGCTGGTTTTTAAAGCCATAATTAAATTTAAATCTTGGTATTTACTGGGACTTTGTTGAAACAAAGCCAAGCTGTAGTTATGACATCATATAAAATTGCTCTTGAAAATGCAAAAAATACAATTGCAGAAACCCTCATCAAACTGTGTTTATTAAAATTGGTTATTCTAGTTCTTGGTGAAGGCACTAACAACAACAACACAATTCAGAGACGCATATTATACATGTCTATAAATGTGATGGAACAAATACTATCTAAAATAAAGATATCTCCTGTCATTTCCTTTCAACTTGACAAGTCCACCGATGTTACTTCAGGGTTCTAATTACACGTATTCGTGAGATTCACTTGAAGGACATCAAAGAGTAATCTCTGATGGTTATGATAAGTTCATTCTTAAAAAGTAATAACTTACAATGGAAAAACCAGCCATACTTTTTGATTCGAGGTTGGTCTTTCAGTCAAAATTTTAAAAAAATGCACCCTAAGTAAAGGGATTATTCTGGAATATTCACTGATTTACCCTTCCTACCAAACCTTTGCAAGAAGTGCTCGACTCTTTGGTGAGAATTGTCAATTATATAACATCTAGTGGTCTCAATACTCGTTAGTTCAAAGAACTAAGTAAAAAACATACGCTACTGTTTGTTGATTATCAAAAGGAAATGTTGTTGACCAAGTTTTTGAATTGAAAAACGAAATAAAACATGACGCACTTTAATGTTGAGACCTGGTTCCAAAAAGCTAAATTTGAATCTGCAGTGTAAAAAACGCACATTATTCACTTCGAAGATATTATAAAAGCGTTTGTATTAAAGTAAATCTTGGAAATTTGCCTTGTTTGAAGAGCTTTTCTTAAGACCTACAAAATATGTTGTCAAACCATTAATTTTTTGTTTTATTGATCAAATATGGTTGATATGGTGATTAAAAAGTGGTTAAAACCCACTGTATTAAGGCAATGAACGTGCCTAGACCTTTAAAATGAAGTAATAGTCATTATCCTTAGCAAATTGGAATCTTACATATTGTAAATCTATAGTCTTATATAAACAAAAATTATTAAAGAAAATGTATGAATTATATGACAAGCTACAAAAGTAAAGAACATCAACAATCTAACTAAGGTAATGTAATAAATTGTAAAATAGAATGAAAAAAAACTTCAATTATTTTCTAAAATCAATTGATCCGATGATTATCGTTAGATTATATATTAGAATTACTAATATAATAAACTTACAGAATTCGATTAATTATAAAGCTTATATGTATTCCTACAAAGTAATTATCAATGTTATACTATTATAAATATAACATCTTATAATATAAACTTAATAATTGTAATATTCTGGAATTAACAGATGTTATCTATTTAAGTATATTATTGAATTGTGGCTTATGTAAGTTAATAATCTCTTGCACTGTTTAGTCATTTTGAATATCTCTAAATAACTATTTTATACCGCTCATTGCAATTCCTTTCATGATATAAATACTTGCCAAAATCTAAATTGCTTCAAACTTCACTGAAAATGTTCAAAGTTGCAGCATGCTTTGATCACAATCTTAATATACATTTATGACAATTACGAAAAGCTGTTCTTTAAATCTGTGTTTCTCAAACTTAAAGTGACTTCTCAATAAAACAAATAAAAGCTATTAAAAATTAAGAATGAAAAAATATAAATATAATCCAATAGTCAAGGAGTCTACATCAAACTGATGTTATCTAAAATTAGAGAAGGTAAATCGATTAATGTAGATAGATTAGATTAATGTTTTTGTGTGTGTATTTTAATTGAGAGAAACGTGTGGTATTGGACATACCGTGGAAACACAATGGCATAAGATTCGGGTGAAAGTTTTATCTCATCATCCAACATGATTGGTTTTATTTTTATGCCTTGGGTCTCGAATCCGTCACCTCAGAAGAAGTAGCGGATGCAATAGATGAATATAATTGATTCCTGTTGATGAGTATTTGTTAGTTAACGAAGTATGTGAGTAGCGGGCGTTGGAAGCGATTCCGATGTGTTGACGGTGTTGTGTTTGGGGTGAGAGGAAGTGATAAGATAATGGAGCGAAAGAGTGAGAGCGAGCGATGCCGCCATGGGAATAACAACATTCCAATCTTATCAGCTGGTCGTAGATGCGACAACAGCGCAAGAAATTCCTCAGGCGAGTGCGTTTAGAGCAGGATGGATGGATGGGGTGGAGACGCGCTCGAGCGAGACGGAACGACTTTCAGGTATGACACACCAGCTGCTCTCTCTCGACTGATGTGAATAATAAAGTAGGTGCAATTGCTTTGATTACGTCCGTCGAACGAATCTGTGTTTTTCTTCGGTTGTTACTTGCGAGGGTGGAATTCGGGCAGCAGAAGAGACTTCACTTCTTTCCTTCCTTCCGTAAGGTGCTGTGATGCAGAGAAGGTGAAGGTGTCCGTCAGCGCTGCAGCCATGTATCCGTCGTTTAGGTGAGAGATCTCGTTTTATTTTCACGCACGTTCCTCCTTCGAGAGGGAAAGAGCGGCGCGCTGACATGCCTTGTTTATTTTTCACGTCCAAAATTAGAAACAAATGCAAAATCTAATATTAAGTTCAATTCAGGTTACTCGATCACCATCACCTTTAACCTTACTCTCACTGTCTTTTTCTCTTCCGCAGTGAATATAATGTGAAGCAGAGCCAGGAGGCCACAAAGATGAGCTTCTTGAGGCAGCCCAATCGACAGTATTGGCAGCTGCTTGCCAGCCAGTCCACTAGCTCCTTTAAGCCAAGCCTTAGTGGCAGCGAGACTGATGTCTCCACATCCAATGAAAACCTATCCAACGAGGAGAAGTATGTCATTAGACACACAGCCAGGCAGGAGCCCCAGGGCCAAGAGAATCTCCAACAATCCTCAAATCGTAGCTCCCTTAGAGATAGTTTACAATCAAACAGAAGCTCACTCGATGTATCATCCTCATCCTATAATACTCTAATCATACACAGTATTGGTGAAGACACATGGACAGGTGACTACTACATTTATTTACATCTACTTGTAGAATATAAGTGTTTATTTCTTATGTACATTACATATTGATGAATAATGTACACATGTGCTGACATCATTACTATTGTAACACTTTAAAATTATGTACAAAGTTGAGATCCAGTATTACAAGTCAATGACAATTAACCAATAACAAAACTCATTAAATTTAGAGTATTAATATCTAATGTATATTATCTCTGTAAATTAATACCAACAACATTCAAAGGTTTAACTTATTCATATTGTCATTTACAATTCACAACTCTAATAATACAATTATGACTCATTTTAAATAAGGTAAAATTATCTCAGTATTACTTAATAATCTATTATTTATGGTAGAATAATATCGATGAGACTATGATTTCCTAAAGTAGTATATAAAATTTATTTTGATTGTATGAGAATGTTCTTTTTTTCATACATTTGTTGTTGTAGGTCGTAATTCGGGTGGAAGAGATACGGAATCTGGTGTATTTCTTCAGGGATCGCCGGTAAACGGAGGCGAATCCGTTCAGAAGATGTCAGCATCGCCAGCTCCGTCTACTGGCTCCAGCGTGGGCCACGGCACCGACGAAACGGGCGTGCAGATTACTGAAATTCCCGATGACTATTTAAGCCAATCTTCGGTCTTGAAACATTTGGCAAAGGAAGTTAAAGGGGAGAGGATCGGTGACCCACGACCACCTCCCGACTACAACAAGTGCATGAAACAGCGAAAGCAGTGTTTTAAGGCCATGTCCAAATCACAGCCTGACCTCTCGATGATGAGAAGTGATGACGACGTAAAGCATGTGCCAAGGCCTAGGACGAAGGGGCGAGTGGAGAGTACCACCGAGAGGGACTGGCAGACAGTGGAGATGGTCGAGCTAATTATGAAGGAAAATGGAGCGCTTAAGATGGAATTGGAACAATGCTACCAGAGGGTGGCGAAGACAGAACTACTGGAGCAGGAAGTAGTAAAGATCCACAGGTCACACGATGAGCTGGTTCAGCTGAGTGAAAGGAGAGAGCGGCTGGAGAAGATGGCTAGGCAACGTCTGCAGACAGAATGCCGGAAATTGCAGGATCATAATAAGGCATTACGGGAGCAACTCGGCTTGTTGACCTCGGACGGACACAAAAGGGAACTCAATAAGCGAGAAATTTTAATTACACAACTCATAACTCAAAGTAAGAACCAATTAAGGTCTTCTTTTGTTTCCTAATTTCATTAATTTAAAATACGTTTTAGACAAAGAGTTGGTAGCAGCTAAGGAGCGGCAGGAGATTGAACTGGCAGCTCAGAGGGCTACGCTTCAAGAGCAGAGAACTCACATCGATATCTTGGAATCTGCGCTCACTAATGCCCAGGGGAACGTTGTTCGACTAGAGGAAGAAGTACTAGCAATTTGTTCCACCAGTGAACTCGATTTATTCAAATATAATAATGTTTTCAGAGTCGAAAGAAACAAGTGTACGTCGATCGCGTGATGCAATTGCAACACGCCTTGACTTCACATCAATTGGTTAGTGAGCGGAGAGAGCAAACCGAAAGGCAGTTAAGGCAGCAGCTCGAAATGGAGTTGGAGCGAACAAAACGTGACGACTGCGGAAAATCTAGCTGGGCAGATATCCGCGGTTTGAACTCTGACGACGCGGATCTCAAGAAGAGACTCCGCGAACGCGAAGAAATGATAATGCGATTGGAGGGTGAATGCTCCAAATGGGAGCAAAGATATTTAGAGGAAAATGCATTAAGACAAGCAGCCATCGATGCGGCTAGCATCCCCAAGTGAGTATATATAATAACTAGTCAATTAAACCAATTAAATCTTTTTTTGTGCACAGAGATGCTAAAATTGCAGCATTAGAAAAAACTAGTCAAGAAACAGAAAAGATTATAGCTGAGGCTCGTAACGAAAAGATTAGACACATGGACGAGGCACACGCTTCCCAAAAGAAAGTGACGGATCTGGAATCTAGGTTATATTTTAATACAATTAATTTATATTGGTTACTTTAAATGTTTTTTTTTTAATATAGATTAAAGGATTTGGAATCGAAATTGGCCGAGCGTGATGCCATGATACGCGTCCTGCAGAAACATCATACTTATGACAAGGACGTTTCTAGTATGTTGAGCAGGTCACCTCACCATACACCACATCCAAGCCTCGCCGGTTCTGATTTGGACCATGTGCTGGGAGCTAGCGTATCCAGAGAAGAATTGGGTAAGTTATAAGTTGTAGCATTTACTTGATCAATTCTAATTACGATTTATTATAGTGAGCAGTGTGTTGACAAGCTCGACTAGCTTTGGTTCCGGCAACTCTTATACAGGAAGCGACAGCTCGTATATGCCTTCATATAAATTCGAGAACAAATGTTTCGATTCGACGAAGAAGACGCTTGACAATCAAATCAAAGAGATCGACAATCAACTGGGATCGCAGTTGCTCAGCAAGGTAGGCGAAACTGAGACCTTTTATTGATTAGGCTAAATGAAATTATATATAGAGTAAACATTCCACGTGATTAGGTCGACGTATTCTGTAGTAGTGAGTTTCAACAAAACGTACATTTTTCTTTTGATTTTGATAAGTGTTTTGTTTTTATTTTTTACTTTTCGTTTGAAAACGAGCTGGGAGGCGGCGCGTGGACAGACTTTGTGGTCTTTAGTTTAAAGACCATTTACAGTCATCAACTGTCGTTTGTCTCCCCCCAAATGGAGTTCATTGTATTTAAATAATAGCATGTTCTTTAAGCATTATTAATTTTAAGTAAAGTTATCATAGCGTTGTTGAATTAGATTTTATGTAAGCCGCAGATGCAGATGATGACCTTATTTTAAGCTTTTAATATTTAACACGCATGGTCTTTTTATTTATTTATATTCAATAAACACAAGGGGCGTTAGAATACTTTCAGCTATTGGAAATATTTCGCGTCTCGAATGCAAACAAGCTTTCAAATTGGAAGTTACAAAATTTCATTGATTTTTTTTTTACTACCTGTGCATTGTTTGTTGCTTTATTTATTTATTATTTTTATTAAATGACTAAGTCGCATGTAGTGGCAAGTTGGAGTGGTGTGCCGAGAGAGACACTAATAAAAAAAAATAGAATTCAAAATGGCAGACTCCGACATGTCCCGATCTAGGACCCGTTTTCTTTCTCGTTTTCAGCGGGCGCTTTGCTGTTTTCCAGGACTCACTAATCCAGTCGCTGCGCAGAGAAAAGGAACAATTCCCAAGCCACTATTGGCGGGTGTGACATCATCGTCCTCTTCATCGGTATCTCAGCCGTCGGCGTCGGGAGCGGTGATCGGAACGACGACCGTCTCCGTGACGGCGACCAACGCCGACGCGAATACCGCCAGCCAGTCGGGCCAGGAGATGCTACTGTTGGAGAAGCAAGGTCGCAGCTCGCAGCAGCAAAGGATGTCCGAGAAGGACTCGACGGGCGGCGGTAGCAGCAGCGGTGGGACTGGGACACCACCTACACATCCTAGCAGTCTACCGCGGCCACCGCGTACTAGGTACAACCGCCTACCCTCTGAGACGCCGCCCGAACGCAAGAAGTCCGAACCAGGCATGACTAGTACTAATAACCGTAAGCCGTCCCCGGCGCGATCAATGATCCCGCCCCCGCGGAAACTTGGCGACTACGGCCGTCTTTCGGACAGCGGTAGCTCGTCGGTGTCGTTGCGTAAACCATCGCCTCGCCTGAGCGCCAGTCGCGACTCGGCATCCACCTTCAGCGACAACTCTTCTAGTTCTTTGCCACATCCGAAGGTGCGGTTCTATGGCAGTGGTCCCGTACGACGCGGATCTAGCCTTGGCCGCGACAGCAAACCCGGCGACTCTCCAACACCCACGCCGCCCGCCAAATACCGAATACAATTCTGATCATATACACATCTTACATGCCGTCTACTATCAACGCGGTACTTGCCAATTAACTTTTACATGCACTGACCAAAAAATATATCATCTTGTCATTATCCAACTCCATTGCATAAGTGTAAGAGTACTTGCGAAGTAGTGAGACTACTGCAGAAGACAAGTACAAATAGTGCAGTGAGCATCTCGTTCCCACTATTTCATATTTACTGAGTACTTGTCAAGTCCTACGTAGTGAGTAGTCGATTTTATACACACGCACCCATTATTTATTATTAATTTAGCTTCCTGACGTTCTACTGACGCTAGTCTATCACTCCAAATAGTTGCAAATAAGCATATGAATGAAAGACCTCTAGTCGTTCCTAGTCCGGGACATTATTCATTGTTTGTTATTTCTTTATTTTATTTTAATAGTTTTCCCCATATTATTTTGTTTTATAATGTTATCCATTTTTTTTACATATATAACTCTCAACGTCCGGTTTCAGTCGGTTTGAAATCGCGTTACTGTCTGAGAAATGAAATAAACAAGAAACGAGAGATGCTTATTTTCAGCCTGCTGCTACTTACTATTCGTTCACTCACTTCATTTTCAGTGTTTCTATTTATTTTTCTCTGTTTTTATATATATATTGTCTGTTTACACTTTTCTATGATTATTATTCTCGTGGGTTACCGTTCATTTCGCACCATGACAATAACATACCACATTTAAGTGTCCTTATCGAATAGACATTAAGTAATTTAGTGGCCTTATTTATTGATATACAAATATATTTACGAAAAAAAGACGAAAACAACAAAAAACAAATATACTGAAAATGATTTCTATGAAATAAAACGAAATAGAAAATATATCTTATATGTTAGGGAATTTATAATCCGAATACCCAATTCTTCCACATCGACATCCAACCAATAATCTGAATTTATATTTATTAGTGTATGTTGTAATGTTTACAATTCGCGACATCAGTTAAGTCTTTATAATTTAATATTTATATTTAAATAATAATTATAATATAAATTGAATTGATACAAGGTAAGTATTTATTGTTTATACCTGGGTCAAATAAAAATGTACTGTCTAAATTATAATACATATAGTATTTGTTCACATTTATATTAAAAGAAAATATTATTAATACATTAAATCTTGATAGTAGTTTAAATCATCTTGCGAAATCTGTGTTTCTTTTTTATCAGAATAATAAAGTAATAAAAAAAAGATAGGTGATTTAATCTCAAGGGTCTATATCGCAAGCCCGACAACCGAAAGATCGTCTATTGCAATCCCGACTGTATCGAAATCCGGACTATATCAAAATCTCGACAACCATAATCCCGACTGTATCAGAATCTCGACAACCATAATGCCGACTATATCGAAAAATTTTACAAAAACATTTTAAAATTATTTCGGAGCGTAGTCACCTTGTGCTACACTTTTATTATTAATAACAATAAATTGTTATTCATTTATTTGATTTTGTTGTATTATTCATAAAAAAACCTTAACATTATGAAATAATCTCAAATACAATTAGATTATTTATTATTAATAACAATTTAAAAGTCACTACGCTCCGGAATAATTTAAAAATATTATTGTAGACATTTTCGATATAGTCGGGATTTCGATACAATCGGCATTTCAAACGTCGGGAATTTGATTGACGGTATTTTGGTTGTCGGGCTTGCGATTGCCACCGAATCTCAATTATAGATCATAGTGAAAAGAGTTGCCTATCTAAAATTATCAAAATTTGAATTTAGACGCAATGTCGATCATTTTTCTCAATATAAATATGGAATTTTTAGGGCGGCCGTAGCCGTGTGGCTATGGTCGCCTGTATCACGAACATCTGATACGAAATGTCGTTGGTTCAATTCCGAAAATCAACAAAAATTTGTGGTGGCTGTTAAACCCGAAAGGGGTAGAAATAGGGCCGGAGAGATTTATATCAATAAATAAATTGATATAAATCTCTATTTAAAAAAAAAAAAAAAAAATATGGAATTTTGATGCTTATGAATTGATACTAAAAAAAATAGCAATCATACTAAAAAAAATTGACATAAGTTTTTTTGGTATAAAATGATACTTTTGACTTCTTTATGATTTTTCATCTCTTAATATACTAACAATTTACTCTACATCTGCATTGCAATTTTAATAAGATTTAATCTGTTTTTAAATGCAGCAATTTCCACTAAAACCAACGATAATTAAATAAATCAATGAAACTTTTTTTATATAATTAGTGAAATCACGAAAGCTCTCTGTGCACGTCAAACTACGATTATATAAGTGAAACATATATTTTCCTATGTAATATTTTCATGTGAAAGGAAATAATTAAGATTTACTTATAGTTTACAAACTGTTGATATTTTTTAGTATTCGTATTATAGTTTATTAAATGCTTTAATCAAAAAGCAGTAAATAACATAACGTTCATTTAATGTATTTATTACATTTTAAATAACTAATAATATTTTTTTTTATAAAATGAGATTTATCGTGATTTTCGTGATACAGGCAACCAGGCAGGTTGGAAGTGAACTAAGAAGTAGGGATATGTTGTTTATAAATAGTAATTAACAAATAAATGAGAATGTGCAGTTCTAACCAATCAACATTAATGTAATAATGTGTATCATCATGATTAATAAAAATCTGGAATTGAATAATACTTTTATATTTTTTTCATGGATATAATTATTTTCATTGTACGAAGTGTTGCATACAATAATGTAGTGTTTCGTCAATTTTGTCATTGGGATTGAATAATACTTTAAATTTTTTTCATGGATATAAATATTTTCTTTGTACGAATTGTTGCATACAATAATGTAGTGTTTCGTCAATTTTCTCATTTCTTCATTTTAAAGAAGAGAATGATGATATTGATGCAATGTACAGTGGAACCTCGATCGCTTAACGAGCATAATCCGTTTAAAAATTTCCGAATTTTTACGCGTATAGTGAAACAATTTTTCTCATATAAATTTTTGTAATGTATATACGATAATGCATCTATTTTGCGAGTTATTTTTCTTACAATTTATTTTCCTCGTTAAGCGAGGTTTCACTGTATTCAAAATTTTATTTGTAGTTATAAAAGAAAAATGATTATTTTAATCATACGTTTGAAAACCAGAAAATTTTAATAATACAAAATTTTAATATAGATGTGAATCAAACATTCTGTGTTTTTTTGCAACCAATATTATTATAAAACAGAGGCGGATGAAGCACTCGAGAGGCCCAGGCGTAATTTAATTATGAGACGCTCCTCTAAATATTTCCAATTCAAATATTTTTTTTAGTTTGATGACGGAAGTATCGGTTTTTGGGGCCACATTAAGATTGTCGTGGGTCCATTTTAAGATTTGAGGCCCCCTTGATTGAAGAGGCATGCGTTTCCTATGCGATAATCCGCCATTGTTATATAGGTACTCCCGATTTACTTATAGGACTCCTATTACGACTCCTGACTTAGAAAATTCTAAAAGCTCTAACTTGTTACAATTAGATATATAGTTATAAAAAAATGCTAATGCTAATTTCTTTAATAAAATATAATATTTTTGGAGATGTACTATCTGTTTTGTTGCATTTGTTTTTTTTATCGTTTTTTGTTAAATAATTGTGATGTCTACGTTGAAAAGTATTTATATTTTAATCTAATTTTTCAAATTTATGCTGTAAAAACCATGATAAAAAGTGGTAAAATAAGTATATTTTGAAATTTTTAAAATTCCCCCGACTTACGAACAACCCATTGGATCGGAACTAGTTGGTAAGTGGGGGGATACCTGTATTTATTAGGAATTTTGTCTCCAAAACTAACCATTGCGATTGACTTAATTTCTATTAGGTGATTGTATGTGACTTCCAGAATTAATACTGACTGTTACAAATCTTCTACTATTAATAATTGTTCTTACTATTGTCACCCATTCAACTATTATCGTAAACAAACCTTGCATTACATTCATCGGATCTTAAATATTAATAATCCAATTTCGTTATTTTCATAATTGTAAATCATTTTTAATTTCAATAGCGTATCAATATATAAAAAAAAAATGGTTTGTGGTCATACTCGTTTCTTCTATTTATATTTAGTTGAAACCTAATATTTTTGGTATATAGATATTTAAGTGTGTTCTTTTGCAACCTTATGGAAGTAATAAAAACATTTAGGAACGTTATTGCCCCCACTTGAAAAGGAGACAGGGACGCTCATGTATCCATAAGATAATTACCAGTTTGGAGGGAGGTGCAGCATCTCATTTTACACACCACTAACTATTTGTCAAAGGGAGATATCGTACCAAACGCACCACCTTTTACCGTCTATAAATGCTCACGGAAATTATTATTTTCATAAGAACAATCGTTTATTTCAAAGCCATTTTGTTCTTTGTGTTGGGATTATTACGAATGTCTTCCACCATTTAATAAATATAATAACATAATTTTGTGTATTATTTTATTAGTATTTAGTTTGCATATGCGTCTTAATATTACATTATTTTAAAAATACAGTGAACCCTCGCATAACGAGTATTTCGCTTAACGAACAAAATAAATTGTAAGAAAGAATGAGTCACAAAATAGAACGCATTATCAATTACATTAGTTTATCTAGAAATATTGGAACGGATTACGTTCGTTAAGCAAGGTTGTACTATATTTCTATAATTGATAAAAAATATATCCTATAATTCAACATTTCAATATTCTTGTAGAATAATGCTGAATAGTCGACAAATGTTAATTTTATTTTTGTTTTCATAACTAATTTTAATTACGGTTTATTTTTTTAGAGGAATTTGAATTTAAATAGTATTAACCTCATACTATTTAATTGAATTGTAATTATCAAAAGATTATCATCTATAATATTCATTACAAATATGTCCCAATATTTCAGAATAATTGAGAACTAAATTGAACTACTACGTCGGAATAATCGGAAATTGCAATTGGATATTCATTAAATTGGAATTATGGACAATTAATTTATCGATAATTCCAATTGAATATATTTCGATCAACAATTTTTCAATTTCTTAAAACACTTTAAATATTAACACATATTAAATATTTACGAGCGTTGGTAATAGCTGAAAATTCAATTGTATTATATTATTGGTATACCAATTCAATCTAATGTTGTCGAATTATTGACGTTCAAGAAAATCAATATATTCAAATTGCAATATTAATAAACACCATTTAAATTGCGATTGGTAATGAAAACAAACCGATTTGCATTTATTAAATAATTAATTATCCCCAATATGATACATAATAGATATTACAAGTTTATGATATAGAATTTAATTGAGATACAAAATATTATAAAATAAAACGTTTGTGTTGTTGTAATTGATTAATCTTTAAATGTACGATTTTCGAACAATAATGTTTTGGCACTGAAGTTCGGTGAAATGAGTGACGGAACTACAGTGCAGGGCCGGATTTGAGCCGATTGGAACGATTACGCCCAATCTCGGGCCCCAAGCTTGAAGTGTTCCCGCAGCATATCAGCACATTTAAAAATTGCTGTGACAGATTCTAAGATTAACTCGCTTAACGAGTATAGTGAAATACGCGTATGAAACATAATCAAAAATACAGATAATATGTGTACATAAGCTTTAAAAATGATGTAGGCGCGCAATCAGGAACTTGTCTTCTCATCGTCACTCGTTAAGCGAGTCATTTTTGCTCGTTAAGCGAAATGCTTGTTATACGAGGTATTCGTTAAGCGAGGTTCCACTGAACATCTATTGATATTGTGAAGGAAGCGGGCTAATAATATTAGTCGGTAATATATTAGTCGAAAAATTTGAAGCTTTAAAATTTATTCTTTCATCAAAATATTTCCATCATCCATTTAAAATGTTTAATATTTTTAGCTGAAAAGGACAGAGTTACGGCATATTTATTGTCCTTCGAATTTATCTAAGGGGAGGCGCCTAGTCTAAGGGGAGGCGCGAATATTAGTCACAGTGAGTAATTTTCCAAATGACTGATAAAGTTTACTAGATTTTATGAACTGTAGGGGGGAGGGAGGCGCCAAATGATTAAATTTTTTTAAGGCAGGCGTAGTAACATAAAGTTTGGAAACCACTGAATTAAACAGTTTAATGAACATGTCGATTGTGAGTTAAGAAGCAATCCAGTTGAATTTTTATACTATTTTAGAAGATTTTTCAGAACATGTAAAACATTTCTTTATAAGTTTATATTCAATGAAATTCAACTATATTCATTGTGTTTATATATGGAACAGGTTTTTTAATGAAGAAATTTGTCTACCTTACGCTTCATGACTTTTGATTTTTGTAATTGGATTTTATTTTAAATAAATATTTAATATTTATTCATTTTGTTATTTAAAATTTGAGGGGCCACGAAAAAACAAATTCAATCGGGCCACGTACGTTTTAAATCCGGGGCGGCTCGGGCAATGGAATCGAACCTCGCAATGCGATGAGGGCTGATTTGTAGGAGGCTTTGCTTTGGGCCCTAATATTCAAATTTGATTTTGTCTTATGAAGAAGCCATGCTTCAAAAAATCCCTAGCGATTTTGGGGCCCGAATAATATTTTGAGAAAGGGCAAAGATTTGAAGATGAAATGTACGATTATAATAGTTTAGGTTTTGAAACAAATTAGTTTTTTGTTGTATAGAATTTTTGTAAATTATTAATGGTAATAAGAGGTGGTGTCATTTGGGACGATATGTACATTATAATGTAAAAGCTTGAAATAAAATATAACTCTTTGTATTTTTAAAAACTATGTTCCAAATCATCTAGTATCATAAAAAAAATCGGGTTTAAATACAAAACAAACAAATAAACTGCGATATAATACAGTGGAATCTCGCTTAACGAACAGACAACAATTTCGAGCAAAATAAATTGTAAGAAAAATTACTTTAAAAAGAAACGTATTATCGTATATAACATTAGTTTATATGGGGAAAATTGTTTTACTATACGAGTAAAAATTCAGAAATTTTGGAACGGATTATGTTCGTTAAGCGAGGTTCCACTGTATTATAAATAAATAAAATAATAATTTATATAACTAACAGACCTTGTTTTTTTTCTGCCCAAATTAATTTTATGCAACATATGCTTTTGGCTACTTTTATTAAATTTATTCTATATTTTACAAACTAAACTCACAGAGTCAAACTCACAATTTCCGTATATCTAGTGCTAAAGATTTATAACGCTTCATGACAAAAATTGGCTAACTAGTTGTATTTATAGGAAGACTTCCGATGGGAAATCGCTCCATGCTTTTATTTTGTTTTTTCTGTTTTTATTTTTTTTTCTGTCTTGGCCAAAAACATACAACTTATAGCCAGAGATGTTGGCAGGTTGTGAATGAATAATAAAAGTTAGGGTAAAAAAAAGTTGTATTTAATCAAGTAATAGCATTTATTTCATTATAAATAAATAAAATGTATAGAAATCACATGCTCAACAATAAATGGGTTTTGGCTAGATGCTAAGCGATATGCGTCAAATAACTAGTTAAGGGATGTACTCGACAAGTACAAGTAAGTGTTACATGTTATGTTATTGGTTAAGTGTTTTATAATTACATAAATTATTTAATTGGTAAAATGCAACTTAGCTAATTGAAATAGCTATCATCATTTACAAATAAATAAACCATTTTATCAATAAAACACACAATAAAAGTATTAACTAAATAAAAACCAATTGTAGATAATTATAATAATAATACATTATGTTTTTAACAACTTTCTAATTGGATTTAATATATGTTTTTATGTTTAGAGATTTTCATTAAAGGTACGTACACACAATGTTTTATTTGAAATATATCAAGTGGCGCACGCATTTCACTTTTACTAGGAGAACGCGAGTAATGAGTACGTATTATAGCAGGGGTCCCCAACCTTTTTGCACCAAAGAGCACATTCTAGAATGCCGGTTGGTCGGCGGGCACCATTTATTTTTTTAATGTAAATTTATAGTTGGACATTGTCAATAATACACATAATGCACAAAAAAAATATTTGCCCGCACAGCGGCGGGCACACGTAAAACGGTCGGCGGGCGCCATGATGCCCGCGGGCATAGGTTTGGGGACCCCTGTATTATAGAATCAAAAGTAGATGTATTGTTATGCGGAACAAACATCAACTATTTTTTTAAATATAAAATATATTTTGTACCGGGCGGAATAACATATAGTCAATATTCATTTTTATTATTATGATTATATAAATTCAATAATTATTATTATAACGAATGACGTTTCGGATAACTTCGATTTTATATATTGTGTCCAACCATTATTATAGTATATAAACGAACTATGTACACTTTCTTATATAAAAATGTAAAGAGATATTCACAAAGAACACGGATCAATACAAGAAAAATAAACAAATGGAGTCAGACGTAAACTCACTTCACCCTATGTGTGAATTGGAAAACAGTTCCTGGTGTTAGTAGTCATTCTAGTTGCATGATCACAAATAATCACTAATGTTTGTAATCACACATTTTTCCAGAATTGTGTTCGGACATATTAATTGTGATTTTGTGTACCAAAGTTTTAAAAATAATATAACAGGCGCGCAATCCTTGACTTTTCTTGCTCATTGCTCGTTAAGCGAAATGCTTGTTATGCGAGATACGAGTTATGCGAACCTCTCTCTACTGTACGAGTAAACATCCGGAAATTCTGGAACAGATTATGCTTGTTAAATAAATAAATAAATTATATAATCAAATCTTCGCCTGTCATAGGTTTCCATAACGACTTTAGTTTGTTCCGTAAGTATTTGCGGTTCGCAAAATATTTGCCGATGATCGCGTGAACGAGTAATGTGTTACCACGTATTGATATTAAAGCACTTGTATAAGACTCGAGTGCATCTACATGGCAATTGCGTAATGTTTAACTGCCGGATATACAATCGTTATGCTAATTGGATGTTCGTTGCCGAATTAATTTGATTGACAGGTATGCGGTGTTGCCTACATTTGTTTATTGTGACTTTGATGTTGTAATCAGATTGAAGTGTTCGTTGATTCCGCGCGAAGTGCAGAAGTTAATGGGTGGAAGAAGCTGCAAGAAAGAGTGAGAAACAATGCAGATTAAACAGATGAAAGGAAGTAGCAGATGCACTGAAAGGAAGGTGCGAATGCTTTAATATCTTTTTTATTGGTATTACCATTGTTTATTATTATTTTATTGTTGTTACGATGGTAGCGGTTATTAGCGCGGCGCCTTGTTGTTTGTCGCTTTGTGTTGTCTCGGGATCCGTCTTGTTGTCGGGTCGATCTGGGGTGGGGCGCGTGCGCGAGCGAGCGGCGCTCGGGTGCCGTTCGAGCCCCGCTCGCCAGTCGCTGAGAACCGTTCGTCGCGGGAGCACCGTACGTTTTACGCCCCGTTCGCGCTCATCGTCGCCCCCGTCCGATAATAAATAACCAAAAGCCACCACATTCTCGGCAAAAAGTCGCGGAACCGGAAGGATCCCCAATAGTGAAATACGCGAATCAAGTGATCTAACCCCTACGGTCATTGCAATCCAATTTGACAAAAAAATATATATTGAAAAGAGTAGAAACGAGAGGAGTCAGTTGCGACAAAGTGTCGACTCTCTCTGTGTGCGTATATGTATACGAATTAGTGTGTCTGTGCGAGTGTGTATGTGTTGTGGGCCCCCCGCGACTGCTAAAAACCCGCACACTCTGGGAGATACGAAAACACGAAAGGATTAAGCGATTTGTGCACAGTGCTGTGTTTACCATTTGTATTTATTCATTCATATTTTTTTTGTTTCTGTTGGTGCGCGTTCCAATTGGTTTTTCATTAATTGTTATTGTTGAGAGGAAGGAATCGCGATTGGATATTAGCTGCTGGTGAGTTCCCATCTCTTTCTTAAGCTACTGCTTGAATTCTTCCGTTTTGGCAGGTCTTATCTTCCTTCTCTCTCGCTCTTTCTATCCCCCTCCGCGTCTCAGCAGCTCACGGGTTCTTTTGTGCTTGCGTTGGAGTGCGCGTTGTCCTCTCTGGTCTTTTGGGTGAGAACCGTTCCGTGTGCCACGTAGCTGAATTTCTATTTATATCGGCGACTCGGTTTGTTCTTCGCGCGCCGCCTATCCTCATCTTCAATCTTCAGTACGACCACGACGAAGTTGACTTGTTCGTCCATTCAATCCGCATTTCAATTACACGACATACATACACACGCATTCGCTCTCCTTACTCGATCCGATCGTAGCTGCGCGCCCCTCACCGCCCCTTCTGTCTCCCTCGGCTCAGGTCCCGCCTCTCCTGCTCCGCACTTGCCAGATTTGTTTTCCTCGCCCCGAAAACTCGCCTCGTTCGTCTCCGCCGTTTCTCTCTTTCTCCATCATATCTCTCACTTTGTCTGCCGCTCGAAAGCACGCAATCATGTAATCTTCCTCAGCGCGTTCCATTAGCCTGTTAATATTTTCGAACTGTGTACCGTGCCTAAACATATTTCCACGAAGAAGTCGAGAATGGAAGAAGTAAACAACCGTTTCTTTGTCTTCCCTAATCGTCCAGAATCCCGTCGAGCAATTGTCTCCTAGTTAATGACCTTAAACCTTATTACAGATATATCCATACTATATGTCCTAATTGGATCGCTTTCAACATAAGCCTTTTTCACCTACAACGTAAAATATTTCCATAACAATTACAATTATTTCCTTATAAAACTCGAATTGATATCTAGAACTCGAACTAGATTATATTAAATAAAATGTATATGCTATTATTATCAGTACACCCGAAAATTGTCATAACCATTGAAATAAAGTTAAAGCTATTGAATTCTAAGTATTATTGTTTTTATGCTAATCTCCTAATTTATTTTCATCTGATACTAAATTATATTTTCAATTATATACTTTACAATAAACTTTATTTTTTTTAAATTAACTTCTATAACGTACAATATTTCGACATCAAATACAATAAGCTAATATTTCCTTATAAGAAATAATAATATTCAAAATTTCTGCCCGTTACTTATAAGATTGATATAGATTATTTTAAAATATTAGTACTGAACAATATCGTCACCATTAAAATAAAGTTAAATTTATTGGTTACTATGTATTATTGATTCTTGATTTAAGTCGATCATATAATTTCCCACTTATTATTTTTATACAGCAATAAGTATATTTGGAAAAGTAACTAATACAGTTTAAACTTAAATTGAATATTGTAGTTTACTTTGTAGAAATGTTTGTAATAGTCACGTTGTATCTAGTTTTATAACAAGTTTAAAACAAAACAATATAAACATATTTTCACGAAAAAATCGAATAAGTTTTGTTATCTTTCTTAAACATGCCAAAAAACACAATCGAATGATTTCATAAGGTTTAAGGCCATTAATGATGAAACCTTACATTTTGTGGACATATATGTATATGTACCTACTTCATGTCTCAATTTGATTTAAATTTGCAGTATTATTATTTGATTAATATAAAATTATTCGTTATAACATGAAAATGAATAAATAATTATTCTTTTTATGAAAACAAATTTATCAAATATTATTATAAATTCTAAATGTAAAACGATTGAAATGGTCGGCAAATCATAAATATTGATGTTATGTAATAAATTTGTTCTTAATCTAAAGTTTGTTTGTGCGAAAGATTTTTCTTTTAAATATAATTGATTCGTAATTTATAGCAATCTCGAAGATACATAACGTTCATTAGGTCAAAGTTAGTTTGTACGAAATGTATTCATTCGAATTTAATTTATTGTTCTATGATTTTGTAAATATAATGTTTATACAGTGGAACCTTGCTTAACGAGCAAAATGAAGACTTATGTTTAATAGCCATTTGCAGCAGTTGAATTTAATTTAATTTTTGTTATTGTATTGTTTTGATAATAATTTTGTAACTAATTTGTAATGAATAAACAATTGAATATATATTTTTTAAAAGATCTATTTCCTCTTATTTTGAGTTTAATTTACGATATTACATCGGTGACCTTCAACAATTTGTAATTTGATTTATGTAACGAGTGAATAGTTAATCTATTAAGTAATGTTCTATGTAATATATTTATAGTTAACCACAATATTTATTTATTTAAATTACTTTTTCTACTCGACTTTTTTTATAAACTTTATTATTATTAATATATCTTCTATTTATAGTATCATTTATGAATATTAGCTATTGTGTACCAATATAATTTGAAGAACTCTTTATGCATGCATATAAATTGAATTTGAAAGACCTTGTTTTGTGCTAGACTTAATATAAACCACATATGTCAAGTTCAATATGAACTTTAGTAAAACTGCGGTTTAAAAAATGCATATGAAATATGATAAAATATTTCTACGGAATGTGCAATATACAATTCATAATGTTTCCGCAAGACTTCCAGACTAATAATATTGCAATAAGTCACGTTTATGGTAATTATTGCCGTATTGTATACGTGTTATTAATTAATTAATTTATTATAAACGATGATTTTTTCTCTTTCTCTCTCTTTTCGAATTAACTTTCGGTTGAGTTTCTTTTCCAGCAGCGGCAATAATCGGTCATCATCTTGACATTCCTGAGTGAAACTGCTTTCCGTTTCTTTTTAATGGTTTCACGAAATCCTTCGCACTGTGCTCTTTGATCACGAGATTGCCGAGAACACACACAAAAAAGAAATAAATGATTTGTGGTCTTTCATTCTATTCTATGCTTTGAAACATCTACTAAATTAACCTTGAATCTAAATTTTGCTGTGCGAACAGAACCCGATCTCACCTTCTTACTTTATAAAGTTTGCACTTCCTATCTTGATCGTGAGTTTCGTAACTTCGTCTTTGATTTCGTCTTTATTTGTGTTTCACAGCTTTTCTACAGCTATGCATTCTCTTCATTTCTCTTCTTTCCGAAATCTTAAAATTTACTTGAATTAAGCTATTAATTATGAACCCCGATAGTTATAAGTTTGTAACTAATGAGTATACCAGATTTTTAGGAAAGTTACTTTTCATCGATTCTAACGGAAGTTAAGTAACTTGCCCAAGTATAGAACTTGTACATCTTGAAAATTCTTCCGGTGTACGCTCCGTATTTCTATCTTTGATTACGTCTTTATTTGTGTTTCGCTGCTTTTCTACAGCTTTGTGTGATACCCTTTATCTTCCTTCTACAATCTTAAAAGTTACTTGAATTAGGCTGTTCATTATGAACCCTGATAGTTATAAGTTTGTAACTAATGAGTATACCAGATTTTTAGAAAAGTTACTTTTCATCGATTCTAACGGAAGTTAAGTAACTTGCCCAAGTATAGAACTTGTACATCTTGTAGATTCTTCCGGTGTACGCATGGTATTTCTATCCTTGAATTTACCATTAACTGGTAGCAATTATACATTCTATCAGATAGATATCTTAGGACTTGTATTGTCATATATGGTTTTACGGTTAATGTTTAAGGGAATGTTCAGAATTTGTGAAAACAAGTCATTGGATAAAGTCAGATTAGTTATGTACTCGTAAATGAAAAGAACCGGTTTCTGAGATTGTAAAATAATATAACTTTTTTTTTACATCGAGATTTATGGTCGGTATTTTATTTTTGTCCTCAAATATTTATAATCTATTTTATTTGAACAAGATGTAAATTAGTTAGCGGTTGACAATTAGTGGAATTTATTACCTGGTAGCAAGTTTCCTTTACAGTTATAACTTAAAATATATATTATGTTTCATTCACACTATGCGTTACTTGCGACATAAATGTCAGAAGTACCAACTTACTATTTATTACAATAAAGAACAACAACACTGAACTATTTATAAAGTATTATTTGTACTTGGTACACCTTCTATCAAAAGATATAATGATATTTAATAGCTCTTATTCCAGTTTATATTTCTACGTCATCTCAAAGATTATCGAAAAGTGATTTTTGAACTAAAGCTTACTCTACTAGAAAGAGATTTGAAATGGAAACTTTAATGAATAAAATTGTTATATGCATTTACGTCATTAACAGATAAAAAATAAATGGTACATCCTTTACGACTATTTTAGATATTGCACAATCCCTCATCTCCAAAGGCAACATCAGAATCTGTGGGTATCGTGGGATTAAAGTTTCCATTACAAACGTCGCCCTCCAATTGATTGCGCGCGAATAATTACCATCCATAAACGATTTAAACTTTCCATGTTAAATGTATCTTTTTGAAGTACATTGCATGATTAAATAATCTTAATACGATTTATCTATTTTTTTGTTTGTTTTATTGAAATTATTCGTCGAATTTCGCGATTTTTTTTTTAAACTTGCACAAACAATCGTCGCAGTTTTCAATTAATATTAATTGATATTTAGTAGAATTTCGCCCTATTCTGCGTAATATGAATATGACAGTAAACAAGTCTAAATAATATCATTAATAGGAATTACCACTAACGAATGGGGAAAATTTTAGCAGGAAACGTACAATTGATTAAATTCATCTTTTGACCATTTCGTTGCAATTTGTTTTAGTTTACGTTCGCATGTATTCAAATATTAAGCGGAAATCAATGCAAAACCTCGACTCCACTGTAAATAATAGTAACGACCGATTGTAATTGAATGACTAATGGTAATGTATATATTTAGCGATAAGTTCGATTGTGATAAGTCGTGTGAGCTTTTTGTTTCCATTTTCGACGACTGTACTCTTACAAGCTTTGCTGCTAGACCGTGGTATTGTTTCATAAATATTAGCCCACGCTATTGTCGTTTACTGAATCGTATTATGATTGCAACAATAAAGCATTTAGTCATGCTTGTAAATAATGTTCGGGTTTCCATTTATTCTGATGACAATAGGTGAGAGTTAGTTTCAAGTTTAACTATTCAAGTTTAATTATGAAAAGCACTGAGATCGGCTACTTTATGTTTAAGCTTAGTAAATTTAAGCAGCGTCTATTTTACTTACGCTGTCACCATATACAATTACATGAATACAAATTAAATACCATAATCAATAATAACTTAATATTAGTTTATAAAAACAGTGAAAATTGTATATACAATGTAAATTATATTTCTTGATTAACAAAATAATTCATTTTTGAATGCAATTTGGAAACTAAATTTGTTAGTAAATCGAAATTGTATACGAAATCTGACGAGTTTATTGATTATATATTTGGAAACCAAAGCGTACCATAATAGAAGTACTTGAAAAGTAAAGAGTAAGTTTAGCTAAACTTTAGCACATAAACACGTGGTATTTCTATTGTTGACTCATAGAATTGATACTTGACTAAGAATAGTATACCTTTATGTTAGAGACTTTTAGGATTTAACCTTGGTTTTTATGGACAACTTTATATGTGATTGCTACAATGTGTTTGATGTTCTAAATAAAAGTAGATACTCAATCCTTATAAAACCTTGGGTCAAGTGGTGTATCACATTATTTTGTCAGTTTTGAAACCTGAAATATTCGAAAACACGAATAAAATGCTTATCGATTGATTAGATTGATTTTTTATTTAATGGATTCAATGCGATGGTCGAACGAACGTTAAACGTAAAGCAGCAAGTGCGACATGATAAGAATCGTAAATATTCGTTTCTGATTGGAAACTCCGAAAGTCTCCCCGCTCGATGCAATTATGTAACGTAATCTCATGTGAGAGCGATAGATAGCGATTATGCATGCATTCATTCAAATGACTTCATGTGCGCTAAATGCATGGCTTATGCTCTGACCTCGGTGCGGCTCATTCAAAACGGTCTAGCATCGCCGACGTCTGTAGTCGGTTAGATTGTGCCAAAGAATCGAACAACGGCCGTTAGCTCGTCGTTGAAGTGTCCCAAATTATTGTTTCTTCTATTTCACCGTCGTTCGTTGTATTTCCCTTGTTGCGTACATTAAACGCGCCAGGAATTATTCATGAGGTGCGAGCCACGAACTTCGAATCCCAAACAGGAAATTACTCTCCTCTCCTTTTACGTTTTGTTTCGCTGCGCTGTTTCAATCTATAGTTGACATAATTTAAGATGTTCTCTTCACTTAATCAGATTCTTACTAATACAATTTACTGTATTTGATAGATTCTCATCTATTGACTCGATTTGGTATTGTTTAAATAATAATAGATTTATTGGCCATACCATTATATTGGGCATACTTGCATTATAAAAACAACTATATATATATATGTCACGGCAAATGTATACGTTTACTGACCTTGTAGGTAAATGTAAGTATAAATCTGACGGCAGCGTCATATATATACTTTTACCAGTAAATGTTTACATCTACCTACATATATCGGTAAAAGTTGAAAATAATAAATACCAGATACAGTTGCTGTATATCAAGGTTAGGTTAGGCTAGGTCACCAGCAAACAATATGTTAGGTTCATAATAAATTAATTCTGTGTTTGTGTGATTATTTTTTTAGCCTGACATAACTTATATATTTTATTTACCATATGAATATTTACCGACGTCATTGGGTAAATGTGTACATTTCCCGGAAACTTACATTTACCGAGGAAATGTATACATTTAATCAAAAGGTATGATATGCGGATCAGTAACAACTGACCTTCCTCCAGGCTAACAAATTAATTAAAGGATTTCAACACACGTTTCTTATTTGAAAAAAGCTATGCAGGATGAATTTTATAATTCATATTAATAATGTAATTAAACAGAAAAAAAATTACCCGATCGACAATTTTGTAGTTATTCAGCATGTGAAGGTTAAATAATTGTCATTATGTTTTCTTAATTAATTATATATTTAAAACATAACCTCGTGGAACTTCTTTATTGCTTTTATTTGTTAATGTGTCACTTCCAATGGAAAGACATATAAAATTTGTCGGTGGGAGCATTATATAATATACAACTTTAAAGTACCTTACACTATTTATACTTTTTACCATCCTACATGATTTAATAATTTAAAGTAGTTAAAAATGTGTAGCCTTGATTGTAATTGTAGTAAAACATACATATATTAAATTACTGTTGTATCTTTTTATTATTGCCGTTTGTATCTATAATTATGATATTAACGAGTTTATTTATAAGTATTTTTTGTCTGTTTATACAAATATTGTTTAAATACAATTATATTAGTAATTTTGAACTTACTAATACCTTATAGTAATTCAATATGCATTATTTGTTAATTAACGTGTTATTTGGTACATACTAATATTTTCAACTTTAATTGTGGTTTAACAGATTACGTAGTATTTGTCACGTAACGTATTATAAGCAAATGATGTAGAATAATTGAAATAAGTATGTTCAGCATCTTCGGATAGTCATGGTTTTTAGCCATGTCCATGTTTACATATCAAATTTAAATAAAAACATTAACTATGAAGTTTTATTTATGTAAAAAGATTGTTAATTGTTTAAAAACTAGCACAATTAACTTTGGTATAAATCGGTTTTAACTCAGTTAAATGTCTACCATTACGGAATACAATGAAGACCTGAAGTGTAGCAAATCATAATTGCGTAATGCCCATTGTGAGTGTTTGGAATCTGGGATGTTTCGTCGGAAGCGATCAAATTAAAATAATAATATAAAAAAAATAATGGCGTGTTGTTGTGAAGCGTTGTTCTAGGTCAGTTAGTTCCCATTCCATTCACGATAAGTATTCGTTTCCCAGCATAATCGAATGAGCGAAAAAAGCAGCAGCAGTTGTCGAATCATCGAAATTAATTTCCAGTATCTTACAAATAGAAACGTTACGAAAATGCATCGTTTCGGAAATCGCGTAAACCAACCATACGATTTTTCATATCGCCTCACAATTGTGATCAAGCTATTTTTACTATTGATAAGTGCAGCGTAATGTAAACAGAAAAGTTATCAACTTTTCATGACACCAATATATATGTATACTCGCTATCGGTATTATCTCTCCAGTCGCTCCGCACATATCCGTCTCTCTTTTCCCCCCGTATCTCCGCACAAGATGTTACATAATGCTTTCTTCCAGTTTCTGTGTGCGTGTGTATTTTTTTGGTCCTAATGTTTTTTTTTTCTTTGCAGGAGAAGAAGTTCGGGTCGAGCCCCGACGTCTGGCGGTCGTCGCTCCGCTTAAGTGTTGACACATAGAAACCAGTGAATGCGCAGACGAAGGAGGAATCCTCCCCCCGAAACAAATAGAAAATCTATACAGTGCTCATCCTGACCGTTTCGAAAATGATATAAGTGTTTGTTGTTTAAATACCGTGGAGAAACTGAGATCGACGGAAGAGGATTAAAAGGATTTTCCCCATTTGTGCCAGAAGGGATTCGACAAAAATAAAAAAAGACGTAGACGGATAGAGGAATAAATAAAGAGAAAAAAAGTGAAGCCCCCGGTGAGTTTTTCAATTTAATGCTGCGGCATCATTAAACACAATTTTATTGTGTACATTTATATTGTTATCCATCGTTATTACGTGATTCCCGTCGTTTTCATAAAAATCGCGATAGCCGTGCATTTTTGCGCGTCGATAATATATATATAAAAAAAACCGTATATTCTCACTCTATTTATAGGTTTATGGAGTAGATGGGAGGTACTTATTAATAATGCGAGATATAAACGCTCGGATTCCTCTACTAACGTCTTAATATCTTAGACTATTTTACAATTAATCTTTGAACATGTTTCTACTCTATATGGACTTGGCTTAAGCGTAATTAATGCCCATACTCCTTGATCTTTGAATATACTTAAACGCAAATAAATTTAAAAAAAAAGTAATATAATTTAGAGATATTTTCAACTTAATCTGTGTCATTCCAATCAATTAAAACGTTTATAAATTTGAATTTACGGATTTACAGTTAAATGTGTGGATGGAAACGGTCAAAAAAAGAGTTTATAATAGCGAATGGAGAATTGGTTCGGTGACCTGTTGGATTCCCTGTGACTGTGGCTATATGTGCGTGATCCTGGCCGACGTTCAAAAAATAAATTGGACCCGAATACATAAATTTATGTACGTTTATTTTAAAATTCTAATCGTTAAAAAGTTCTTGCTCGATGAAACCAACACCGACTTCGTCGTTTATTTACGGTCGTCCGTTTCGCATGCTTTGACATCCCGTTATCCTCGCTCGTTTTTGGATTAGGACACATCGACCCGATGCTTTCCAGATGTTTTTTACGACACACGAACAGTTTCAAAAAAAATAAATTACAATTAAACTTACCGTTAAAGTGCATATATATATTTCATCACGTTCAATGTTTAGAAATATTTTATTTTAGTTATTTTCTACAATCAAGTTTTTTTTCACTATAAAAGTTGATTTTGACCAAGTTTTATAGTTTTCAATTTATGTAATTTTAAAGTGTTATAAATGTTCTTTCTATTCTTTGTATTAATTAGAATATTTTACAAAAAAATTCACACATATTATCAGACTTTTAATAGTTTAGTTGTATAATCAAGATTTATTCCATTTTAAACGTGTCATCCGATCATTCTGTTTCTAATTCTCTTAGAAAAGACATTGTTTATCAGATTTTAAAATGAGATAACTTTCTTCAAATTTATATTTCCAAATCTTCCAAAGTTAAAGACAATAGTTAGAAAATTAATGATTTTGTTATTTTTTTCGTTATCTCCAATTTAGTTACACAAATGTGTTTTAGTATATATAAGTACACGTACACGTTGTTAAATGTATTTTTATAATGGTTTGATTGAGCATACAATTGTGTTACTGAATGCAACTTATCAACAATCTACTTAATTATCTCTTAACCATCAATTTTGACTTTTTTAACGTGAGAGAATGCAATTTATTTTAAATGCGGACATTTATGTGTGTAAATGTAATGAACTGTGACCTTTACCATAAATATATTAACTATTGATTTTAAATTAAATTTTACTTAATTGAATTGCGAAATCTCAACATGTTTAGGTTAAAATCCAGATTACAAATTAATAAATAATAAATTCATAAAACCATTTACCCTTATTTCGTCAATTAAACTGAAATCATTTACCATTATGACATAATTTGCATTAGTATAATTTCTCAACTATATATTTAATACGTGTAATTATCTATTTAATCAGCTCAATTCTGGCCGCATCAACATGCGATATATTAATATATAATTTAATGCAGTAAAATATTTATTACAAAAGTTTAACAAAAATTAATTATATTATATTTTAATTATTATAATAAGATATTTCCGATCTTAATTTTGGTATAAAAAGATGTCATCTTAGAATTAATTAATGCTGTCACCGATTTTTCATTTATAATTAACGTTTTTATATTATTTTAATTAAATACTAGTTAAAAGTCGGTCAATTATCTTAATAAAAAAGTATATTATTGAAAGTATCAACAAAGTCAAATTAATGAATCAGTAGTTAATGAGTAAACTTTTTTTTGCAATACTCTTAATTCGACTACGAATCACACACGAAATCGATACAAACTATCATATTTCGTAATTATTCAGTGAATGCGTATATGTCATTAGTTCACGTCTTTTAAAGGGCCTTTTGTGGCTGGGGGAATGAAAGAAGTTGCACTTGATTTAAGTGAGACGGGGGGAAACCCGAGTGAGCAGGTGGTGCGGTAGTAGAGAAACCTATCCTTTTTGGCATCCACTTTTCAGCTCGTTTTGCGAATAGTAATTTTTCCTGCTCTTGACTAAGACTGAAATTCCGCTTGGAAAACCCTTCAAGAAAATTCTTATTTCTGTTTTAAATTTTCTTTCAAAAAGCATTGTTTATAAAATTATAACTGGTTTAAAATTGTACCAGCATTTATTCGATTTTCCATTGAAAAATAGAAATATATAACTCATTTATCAAAATCTGACACCAAAATTTTAAAATTAAAATTTTGTTGCGTTTGGTTTATTTAACATGATATTTTTACTTGTTATAACTTGTTATATGAGAGGATTGGTTTTTCTTTAAACATGATTGAGTGATGTATAGTGTTAGTAGTTATCGAGTCATCCGATCCATCATAATAAATAATAAATTTTCTATAAAAGTTATTAGAGAAGGGCTTCTTTCGCTGAAGAATCCAGCAATATGCTGTGATGTTCATGTTTGTTGTTTGAAAGTTGAGGATTCGCCGTTTTATATAACAAAGAATTGTAGGATGAGTAGATCTGGGATGAAGGGAGATTGCGCGAGAGTACCCATCGTAATAATGTAATCTAGCGCGCGTGAGCGAGAAATGTAGAGTTAAGAGAGGAAGAGCGATGGAACAGAAAGCAGCCGACGACGGCGGCTACGTTCGTTTGTGTGCCAACGAAATTGGGTCAATGTAACTAACCAAACGAAATCCAGTGCTATCTGACACAATCGTATCTTGTAGGATCCACGCAGACAAATACACAGACAATTACAAATTACCAGTACGAAATTTAAAAAAAAACGAAAATACTTTGCGACTCGATATAAGCGAGATGCGATGCATAGAGTAACCTTGATAGATTACGCTGCATCCATCTAAATGGGCTTTATGTGTTTTAGATAAAACGAGGTAAGAAAAAGTTTCCAAGTTGCGCGGACGCAATTATAAAAGTAGGCTTTTTCTGGGTCAAGGCGGGGAAAAGTTGTTGTTATTGTTGAAATCGGTTTGGAATGTGTGAAAGTTTTAAACTTTTCTCCGCCCAATACAGTAGTAGTTCCAGAGCTGGAAAGCTTTAAAGTGCATAAATCATTGTCAGTGGGGGAGAGGACGACGGTGTGCGCTCGGTTTAAAAGCAGGTACAATCACGGGTGGTGCATTAATGGTTGGGGTCAGGTACACAGGGTTCATACAGGTGTGCTCAGACCTCGACGAGTCGCTCGCACAGTAAGCAAGCAGGCAAACAAACAACGAAACGAAACTTTTCACGTGTCAATTGCGCGCGAACGCTACGACTTTACGAAATAAAAGTTGAATGCTCGCTTCGTTTGACCTCAGACGTGTTTACCACCAATTTCCCGTGGATTATTAGTGACTCTACTCTAATTGGCTCGAGAAGCTAAACAATAATATTATCGAAGTTTTATATAAAAAATAAAACCTGAAGAAATGCGATTTATAGAGTAACAAATTATCCAAAACACAGAACTTACCGATAGAATTGGTTTGATTACATCTACTTAAATAGACTAAGAAAAACAAAATCGACTTACTACAATCCCTCTTAACGATTTTATTGCCCTTTCGTTTCGACTTTAAGCTTAGAGATTATTTATACATCGAGCCTGTTTATGTATGTATCGAAAGAATGCGTCCTTTTCGTTTGCACTCCGTCTATCTCGAGCACAAACCGTTCGCCGTATCTTTCGGCATTTTATTTACTTTTTCTTTCTCTCTCTTTCTTTTTTACGAGTGTCATTCAGTGCATTGACATCCAGGTTTTATGTTAAGTATGTCTCTTCAACCGGCGAACAAAGGGATCGGAATCTTCACAAATATTAGGTGCGATATTAGGCCAGACGAATACCGAGCGCGTCTTCGCATAAAGAAAATATATCGCGAGAAAATTGATCAAAGGAAGCACGGACACAGACGTACCGTATAGAAATGTAAAATACTTCGCGAGTGAATTATGTTTTCCTGGTCAAAAGCTTTTACATAACTGCGCGAATTTTATGATCAACGGATTTTCTATAATAAAATGTATATTCATATAAAATTCGCTTTGAACTTAGTGTCTACGAGTGAGATCAACTTTTCTAAAAGTTTTGTCGGTTATTTAAAGTAATTAACTGTAATTTTGATTTTAAAGTAAATTCATATTCCATTTTTATTTATAATTTAATTACGAATTATTTAAATTTCACTTACGTAACTAACCGTTTGTAAGCAATTTACTTTAATAAATAGTCCATCATATTCATCGTTTTTATTTATATAAAAATATGTGCATTAATTTACATTTGTAAATTGCTTTTTTACTGCTGCAGTTCTTTATGTATACAAAAATTCAATACTTTAAATCATTTTTTAATTTTGTATATGTATAAAGTCTAGAGTCGTATCTGGATTAACTATACAGTAGAACCTCGTTTAACGAGCACCTCGCATAACGAGTAAAATGAATTGTAAGAAAAATGACTCGCTTAACGAGCGACGTTTCGCATAACGATGAGAAGAGAAGTTCCGGATTGCGCGCCTACTACATCATGTTTAAAACTTGTGTACACATATTATGTGTATTTTTGAATATGTTTCACTATACGAGTAAAAATCCGGAAAGTTTGGAACGGATTAAACTCGTTAAAAAAAGAAATAATTGAGGGTTCTTGGAGGTACATCATAATATTTAATACTAATAACTTACTTTCAGTACAAAGACTTTGTTTCCATAACTCGTCCTTTGAAAAGG